CAGATAAGTGTAAGTTGGGCTTGTTCAATCTGTGGGGTGCGGAGAGACCTGTGGGGTGCTGGAGGGACCTGTGGGGTGCTGGAGAGACCTGTGGGGTGCTGGAGGGACCTGTGGGGTGCTGGAGAGACCTGTGGTGTGCTGGGTGCTGGCGCGGTGTCTGCTCGCCCGAGGCGCTGCCTCTGCTATTCTGGGGGGCGCGGGGAGCGGGGTGGGCAAGAGTCAGCAGAGGTACAATGTCAGGTCCTCATGTGGGCCCCCTGAACAGCAGGGAAGCCTAGCAAGTAACTGGGGTTTCCTGTGGCAGATCAGTATCTAGCACAAGCTACTTGAGCTGGTTCCAAAAAGCTGCTTCGTGGTTCACTGGGGCTTAAAAGTGCATGCCCAAGATGCCTGTGATGGGGATGAAAGCAAAAGTAGTTTTTACTGTGTGTGTTGTTAAGTGTAGATTTTCAAACTCTGGTGGCCCTTGTACCACGGAGGAGCTTTGGAGCAGAGAACTGCCTGGGCTTGGTGTGAACCTTCTCTGCTGTGTGATGGCTCTCTGTTATTTTTCTTTGCCAGATTGAAAGATGATGATAGTGGAGACCATGACCAGAATGAGGAAAATAACACACAGAAAGACAGTGAGAAGGAAAAGAATGATCGTGAGAAACCACAGAGTACTACCAAGAGGAAGGTATGGTGCTGGCATCTGCACTCACTGCCAGGGCATGGTGTGGCAGTGCTAGGGAGTCAATCCTCAGTTCAAGAATAATGAAAATATGTCTTGGAGGGCTGTGGTGTCAGTGCATTGTTACTGCTGCAGTGAAGACAGAGGGACTGTGTTTGATTTCATTAATTTGATGCCACTTTCAGAGGTCTCTCATCTGAGGGGTGAATGCTCCCTTCACTAACATAGTTGGTACCCTGCCTGATTTTTGAATGGAAATGAGAAGTAAAGCTTTATTTTCATCAAGAAATAAATTTGGAAGAGGACATGGGGAAAGGACTCCTGTCTGACAGAGCAGTAGTGGCTTGAAGGTGGTTTAGCAGGCAGTGTTTGTGACGCTGTTGAGATAACTTTTAAGATGTGTCCCTGTGTGTAATGTAGCCTTGTCAAGAAGGCATAATGTATATATCTCCTGATTTGTTTTTTTTTTTTTTTTCATCTTGTGCTTAGGAAAACTTCTCTGTCTGAAGTAATGCAACCCTTGTAAACTTGCCATAGTCAAGGAGAGATTTAAGCCGTGGTAACTCCGGTTACAATATCAAGTAGTATAAGATAAGGGCTTTGATTGGAGTTTTCTCTGTAAGTTTTGACTCCTTGCTAGTGAGCTCTCATTAGCCTCTTTTTTGCTCATTAGAAGTATTTTTGATCAGAAATCAGTGTTTTGGAAATTGAGAAGTGATGGCTGCCCACTGCTGGTGATGGGTTCTGCCAAAGCTGACATAACAAGTTCTTAGATTAATCTTCCCAGAGCACTGGGGTGTTGGTTGCTTAAGGCAATTGGTGTCACCAGTTTTAATTGCATTTGAATCATGATTCATTATAAGTGGGATTTACCCTTCCCAGAGGAGGAGAGTGTCTTTTTTTTTTTTTCTTAGTTTGAAAAAGTTAAAACTCTCACATTTCCCTTTTTAGTTCTTTTTTTTTTTCTTTTCCTTTGAGACAGGCACAGGACAAAAAAAATCAGTAATGATGCCTCTGATGGCTTGAAGAGTTGCTTTTATATGCTGTAAATGTAATTTTTCCGTTCCCCTTTTTAGAGGAGCATACAAGGGGTAAACAAGCTTTTCTGTTCTGCAGGCTGTGGTTCCGGGGCCAGCTGAGCACCCCTTGCAGTATAACTACACCTTCTGGTACTCCCGACGGACCCCCGGGCGGCCCACCAGCTCCCAGAGTTATGAACAGAACATCAAACAGATTGGCACCTTTGCCTCTGTGAGTACCCCCCTGCTGTCCCTGTGCCACTGGGGCACAGCTGGTCCTCCTGGCTCAGTCCCTGTGTGCTGGCTCTGTGCACACTCAGTCTGTGCTCATGGTGCCAGAGAGTGATTTGCCAAAGCAAATGAGCTCTTGAATTACAGCAGGAGATGTGTCTTTAGCACTTTTCCTCTGCCCTGTGCTAGATCTTTGTGCATGGTGGTAGCTGGTATAATAATAGAAAAAAAAACAATAAGAGCAGGCATCTTCCATCTATGGCTAGAGCAAGAGAAGAAAGGAACAGCTTTTCTGTTCCATTTCTGTACCGTCCCTCACACACTTCCCTCCACCCACATTCTCACCACAAAGACTGTGTTTGGAATAAGCATCTGGTGTACTGTATTTGCCAACAGCTGGTGGCCTGTTGTCTGTCTGGAAGTGATGGACAAGGTGCAGTTTGATGTTGCAGTCAAATTAATTAAAAGGCAAATTGCTCTTCCTTTCCTAGTCTACTCTGTGGTTGCTTGTTCCTGGAATAAACTTGAGCATGTCCTGGAAAAGTGGTGTTGGGTTTTTGCATGGTGTTGACAGAGTAAACCCTCCCTCAAGAGCCCAAGATACATAAGCAAAATGAGTCCCTATTGGTATTCTAGAGCCCAGGAAGTCTATTGACTGTTTTCTTCCTTTTTCTTTTCAATCTGGTGTTTGCCCAGTTTTTTCAGGTTCTCTTATAAATGTTGATTTTTCCTACCAGTACATATCCTCTGCAATATGAGAATTTATAAAAACAGCCCTTTATTCCTTCTGGAGGCTGCCTAAAAATATGCCTGA